ACAGAGATGAAATCTTATGAAGAAAATGACAATATCTGCACAATATTGGCTTCATTCTCATCTAAATGCAAAGCTATAATTTAATAATAGGAACCTTTTGCATCATGAGTCATAAGCACATTCTAAGAGCTTTCAAAGCCACTACAGAAATTCCAATTGAGTTATGATGATGTTGTTTTCAAATAAGGAACTAATATTATTTGTAACGCAGGCAAGTATTTTTAAAAGCAGTCAATCTTCAGATTGTTTAACACTGAAATGCACCAAAAGATTATTTTATGTGATGTTTAAAGGAAAGAAAAAGGATATTGCAAGGTATGACATACCTATAGTATACCCAAACAGCTATTCACATRTGTACCCACAGTAATTAAAATGAGAAGTAGCTTGTAATAGATGTATGATTTCACACCAAACAAGAGCTTGAAAAAAATATTTCAGATCCTTGATGCCTCTAAACAAGGACAGATGCTCAACTTTTGGTGAGATTAGAACCTGCTCAGCAGGAGAGAGGAGGCTGACAACATGTGTCTCTCAGGTCACTTCTCACCAGCAGGTAGGCACTGTTCCCTCCTGAGATCCTGCAGGAGCAGCAAGAGGTGTCCTGCTTTGGGTAGACATGGGCTCTTAACAGCTTAACACCGTAACAGCTAAGCTTAAGCTTAGCACCTCAGCAGCTGTCTCTTAGGGGCACCCTAAGGTACCACCTTGGTACCACCAAGGGCTGGCATGCTGTATTTGATCCCATGCTGGCAGTAGGACACACAACCTGTACTGATCCTCTGCTATGCCAATCAGACACCTTAGCATATGAAATTTCTTAAAATACTCCAGACTCTCAGGTGTTTTTTCAGGTCTTTGGCTAAACCTGCATGAAAGAGCTTCTATTCTATCTGACTTCTTTGGAATACGAGCCTCCTTTGACTGTGCTGGCTGGCAGCATGTCCGGACTAGTTTTGAACCTGTTACCTAACTTGATCAATCCCACAGACATATAACACTCCTTAAGAAAGCTTTAGGACACAGAAATGAAGAATGATTTTTATCACTTCCCACAATATTATTGATGTGTAAATCAATTTATTTCCAAAATTTTCCTCTTTTATTCTATTATTTGTTCTTTTTACACTACTACTTATTTCTCATATGAAGTTACTCTAAAATTAATGTGCTTCTCAAGCCAAAAATCATTTTTAAAGCTGTAAGATGGTTTAATGTATGGTTATCACATTTTTGTTGTAATGATATATGTAGTGTGAATAATAGCATTAGTAGCACACTGATTGCATAGTAACTGTAAATTATTAGTTGATACATGTGTAATTCAGAAGATAAAATAGTCCTTCATTCAGAAGGTATCTATAATATTTAGTTCTATTTGATACTGAGCTGCAGGTGGTAAAATGGGCAAAAGACTAACTCAGTGAAAATTACCCACATTTTAGCCAGTGAGTTAGATGAGAATTACAAAATGGGAAAATGGGAAGAAGACAATAGCAAAGCTTTGAAGGATGAAGAAAATGACCCTTCTCTTACTACTATTTTTTTAAACCATTTTCTCTATTCCATTAAGGAGGCAACAGGTTCTATACATGTGAGGTTTCTGGAAGACTTAAAGAGCTAACTACCTTAAATTTAGAATGATACAGTTGCAGACTGAAGCTTTATGTCATCTCCGGATCAAATGCAAGTAGCGTCATCTTCAACTTCTCTTTTCACTGAGATCCCGTGATTCTGTGATCCTCAGTGATCCTCAGTTCAATAAAGAGCAGTTGTCTGCAACTCAGATCTTGAAGAGCTGCTGTTGGATAGAAAGAAACACTCAAAATAACTTCTCACTTCTAGGACATTGTCCTAATTTGCCACCATTTAAACTTTAGATCAGCGAGGCAGTTCACAGCCTTATGACAACTGAATTTCTCATTAGTTCTGGACACTCAGACTTATCAGTTTCTGTATTCTGTTTAGCTACTGCCTTGCAGTTGTGATTTCCACACCAAGTTATGGTAAATCTCCATGTTAAAACACTGATCTTTAAATATTATAACTGTTTCAGAGTGAATGAAACTGGTAGTACAAGCTGCAGATATTAATGTGCTATTAATATTATTAATCCATTGCTATACTCATATACTGATGTCACATATGACTGTCACACAGAAATAGCAAAGACCTCTTTTTCCRCTTTGTTATCTCTCTAAGTTTTGTGGTGAAGGGAGCCTTTCAAAACATATTGCAAAATCCACTTTTAATCAGTGTTTTTCCTGAACATCATTCAAAGTAGCCATTCCTAATGGTCTATGTTAATCCAAAACAAAACAGGTCCTCTTACTTGATTACCTGTGTATCAAAGATTTTTTTTTCCATTAAATAGATAGGATTTATCACTTATGGGTCCTGAGAAAGAAATCTTCAGTGACAAAAAAGCAGCTAATTTTTTTTCCAGAGACCAATATTTCACTACTCTGACYGTCTAACCAATATCATCATTTCCTCAAACATTTCTTTGAAGGATTTACTCTGGCTGGAAAATAAAAGTATTTCCTCCTTTTCACGTAATTATTATGAAATGCATTTACAATTAGAGAACAGAGTACGTGTTCTTGTGTCAGACAGACAGACAGACAGASATCCAGTCTCTCATGTATCAATTTAAAGACACCAGAGACAGTTTCATTATCTGTGCTTATTGTACAATCGACTTCAGCAGCTTTTACATGAGTTTCCTTGTGGGTTTGTTTCATAGTGAGCTGGTGGTTAAGGACCAGGCATAATCTAAGAGCTTGTGCAAACGGCATTAAGCCTTCCCAACCAAAAAATCAACATATAAATCAATGGAGGAATTAGCATGTTGAAGAGTTGCCTCAATAAGAAAATGAACTGTATAGTCAAATAGATGGCCATTTTCCTAGCTAAAATAGGCTTCAGATTAAATTGGAATTCTTCTGTCTGAGCAATGATGGTTAGAATTCCTAAGGAATACAAGAAAGACTAATAGCATTCTTGACAGAGAAATTTGACGGAATGAGAACATAAATTGCAGGAATGACTGATAAAATTGTGTAATTGACACTAAGCTAAAGACAAGAAGCGTGATGGGCAGGTGACAGATGAAGCCTTTGAGTATACACGGCAGCTTTCTTTTGCATCTGACTCCAATGAAGATGAAGAGCTTATTCTGCTCTGCAATATGACAAGAAGAAGCAAGAATTATGTTGGGAAACTAGAATAATTACAGATTAAATACATTGATTCAAATATTTTTTAAGGGAAATTGAAGAACAAACTGTAGCAAAAGCCAGCAGAATTAACACGTTTTTATAACACTGCTTAAATCCACATTTTGACAGAATTCTTGTGATTTTATTCAAATAACACAAAGAAAGCACTTTTCCCCACAGAGAAGGCTCAAGTTTTTAAAAGGACTTTTTGAAAGTTTACAGTAGATTGTCAGGAAATTTCATCAAGTGCATCTTTCACAAGGTGAGGAAAAGTTACGTTTTGCAAAAAAATATGTTATTTGCAAAAAAATATGTCTGAATTTTACAGATCAGGTCATGGCTGACAGAACACCTTCAGAATATAATATGAAATATCAAATGAAATCCACAAAATTCATGCTTCTTATTTATGTGCATTAGCTTTTGAGGACTGTAAGAAATAAACTGTATTCAAGTCATTTTATATCAGGCATCTGCTGACATGGAGATTATTAAAGCCCTACTGCTCCTATCACAGAAAGAACAAAACGGCAGGTAGGAAAGAGAACCCCAAGACCCAGGACCTGCGTTCCTCACCCGGATTGTGAATGTTATGCTGCTTTCAGGTAAAAGCTTCACCTGCTTTAGCACCTGGAAAGGGAGAGAGCACTGAGCTGTTCAACAGCTGCCTCTGCTCCCGCTCTGTCGCAAGCACACACTCCACGTCCAAGTGTGCAGGGAAGAGCTTAAGCGGTTTCAGAGGAAGGAGCTGTGTATCTAGCTCACTCTGTGTAACATCTGTCATGTTTCACACTGACAGAGGAATTTGGGGGGCTCATCTGCTGCACAGAAAATGTAATTTGGCCAGGGGAAAGAAAGAGAAGCTGACATTGGCATTGCTGCCTTTTTAATTCTCTTCTGCTCATCCCTCTGCACGCCGAAACCACAACTAACCTACATGAGCCAGCGAAACTTCACTGGTGCARCCTGCACACTGGGGGCTAGTTCTGTCAGTGGGAAGAACTAAATATCTACCCTCTCAGACAAAAGTTTTAGAAAAAAGAAAAAATTATTGCAGACACAAAATACTGGGCAACAAGCAAACATACAAGACAGATTTCTAAATAACTCCCTCATAACACTTGGAAGCTGCAAGAAAGTAAAAAGTAACAAGTTTTTCCTCATCCGGTTTTGTTCTGATGTTAGAGCAGAGGGCAGGAGCCAAAGGGGCTTTAAGGGACCACCAGATCCTGACTCGCAYGGAGAGGGGAATATCGTCTCTGTTCCCAGATGTGGTGCCCAAATCTTGTGCACCTCCTTAGRCAGCATCACAGGGACATGTCCCCGTTCAGCTCTGCTTCTGCAGCTGCCTCAAGGAAGGGAGCTGCGCTCAGTTTACTCCCCCTTACCCCGCCGAGAGGCAAGGACGCCCTGGCGAAGCTGCGGACTGTGCCAGGCCGGGCTGCCCGCCCAGAGCCGCTCTCGCCTGCCCTAATGAGGGGTAATTGCGCGCGCTCTTATCTCCCCGCAGCCCGCGCCGCACTCCCAACCGCCTCTAATTGAGTTGCTGTCATTTGCGCCGTTCCTAATGCGGAGAGCCGGCGAGCGGGGGGGCCGCCGTGGGCGGCCCTCGGCTGCCCCGCGGCGCATAAAGAGCGGCGGGGCGGCCGCCCGGCACCCGCGGCCATGCGCTGAGCGCCCGCGGAGCCGCTCAAGGTACCCGCGCGCCGGCCCCGGTCCCGGTCCCGGTCCCGGCCCCGGCCCCGGCCGCGCGCCTCTCACCCTAGCGTCTCTTTCCAGATGCCGAGGGGCACCGGCTTCCTGCTTCTCTCCCTCGTCCTTCTCGCCGCCCTCTCGGAGACGCTCGGGCTCGTCCTGTCCGTAAGTGCCCGTCGCTCCCGGGGGCGCCCGGGGACACTGGCTCCGCTGCAGAAGCGACCTGGGCAACAGGCAGGCTCTTAATTAAGCGCGTTGCAGGCAGCAATATCAAATAATGCTATTAGACTTTTGAATACTAGTTCCCAGGGGTGGAGGGGCTTAGAGCAGACCTCTGTGGATGTCCTCCCGCGGCTGAATGGACTTTTATCCGAGAGAGCCCTGCGGCCAGGGAAAGCTACTGCTYCCAAAGGGCAAGCTGTGGCTGCGTTTCTATAGAGCCGCGTGGATGGCAGCAGCCCGGCTACCAGCTCCGCGGGGCGGGCAGGAGGCCGCCTGTTACCCACCTCGACAGCGGCTCCTCTCCCTTCTGCAAATTCCTCTCGCCCCAGGGTCCCGGGAAGGCGCCTCTGCACCCAGAGCCCCGTGTGGGTGCTGCTCGCTTCCCTGTCTGCCGTGTGTCCCTCAGCCACTCGCTTACTCGCATTTTTCCTTTCTTTCTTTAAGGCAAAAGAAAAAAGAGGGTGGACCTTGAATAGTGCTGGTTACCTGCTTGGACCACGTAAGTCAAGTGCTCATTTTGTGTGTGTTATTTCAGATCCCTAAAGCTTTTCCCCTTGCTAAAGCATGCTACCCACTTTGTCTGACTAGCAGTGTCTTTAAATCTGTGAGAGAGACATTTGGGAGAGTATTTGCTTAAATATTTATCACCTGCCTTGCAGAGGAGCAAGTCACTGCAGGCAATAACTTGCCTTTACAAAGCCAAGCTGTGCTGTGAGCCAGATCTCTGCAGGTCTGGCACGGCAAACATCTAACTAGCCAAATTTGCAACTTCATCTCTGAATTCTGAGTCACATGAGGCTATCTTTGCTGTGGAAGTGCTACAAAATTTTATGGCATTTGACTGTATTGAAAGTTTTTCAGATTCAACACTAAATCTATTTGAAAATGCCTCCTCTACATGGCTTTCTTCTATTTATTTCAATAGAAGTAAAACAAATTAAAACAAAATACAAAATCAAATATTATAAATATTAAAAATTCACTATGTGGAAAAGTATTTAATGCATGCTTAAAATTGGGACATTGGTTTATGAAGACTGAACCCCAAATGCCTAGTATAAAAGAACATTTGAGACGACTAAGTGCTGCATTTCCTCTCTCTCCTTTATCATTATTTTGTGCTAATTTAATAATACTCATTACCAGTGTTTGCATATCCTCAGTCTCAATGATACATGATGAGTCTCCGAGATACTGACTGTGACTACCCATTAATATGCCTGTTTTCATTCTCTTTAACTACCTTTAAGGATACTTGAAAGCAAATTAATGCGTCTTAAATGTGCTTACTGGCTCTGTAAATGTCTGTAAGTATATTTGCCCCAAAGCAGAACTGACTGAACTGGCAAAGAGCCTCTGGGGAAATGTACTTGCCAAGCAGCGTGTACCCAAGGCGGGGTAATAGGCGTCATCCTTCATCCTTTGTTGCAGGTCGTATTGATCAGCTTTTGCTGATAAAGGAAATGCCCATGGCAAGGGGGAGAGAAGAGGCACCAGGGGAATGTAAGATAGTTTTTGAAGGTTATTTATGTAAATTAGTTGCTGTTAAGCAAACTCATTGGTAACATCTTCTAAAAACAGGGGAAAGAGTAGCAAAAAAATAACCTGCCAAATTAAGCATGAATGTACAAACTCACGTTTTCTGTACAACTACCATCGTATTCAGTAAGAGTTTGGGTGAGTGTGTATTACAGGACTGGGTCATGACGGATACAAATCATAAGCCCAATTTTGGAAGAAATGTTTTCTTTATTTAGTGACATTTTCATTAAAGAAAATGCTTCTTTGTCACTTTGTACATAAGCAACACTCCATTAAAAGCACCCATCATGTTCTGTTCTTTGAAGTCCATGAAAAGCAAGCCACATGGCCAAACTCYATTACCGGATCAGCTAACTACCATGATCTCTCTTTCTTTGTCAGATGCAGTAGATAACCACAGGTCATTTAATGACAAACATGGTTTCACTGGCAAACGTGAAACACAGCCTGATGAGGATATAAAAGCAGGTAATGAAGCTCTGAAAGCTAGCAGAGTTCATTTGTTACGTGTAGTGATTTACTTACTGTCTTTGAGTTATTCAGCTGCCTCAATACAAGGTTATGCCTGCACACAAAAACAAGTCTTTCTAAAGACAAGCAAGAAAGAAAAAGGACAAGAGGTATACTTTTTTTACATGCTTATAATTTAAATAACTCAGGGCTTGCCCAGTACCGTAATTATGATACTTCTAAAGTAACAAGTTTGAATGAACTCTCTCTCTTTTTATTTATATACAATCAAAAGTATTTCTAATTTCATCCTGGACACTCAAGTGATACCTTTTTCTTCAGCAAAGAAGGGAGATCATAAAGGATTTGATCCATAGGAAAAACTATGGCAACTGGCAGCTAGTCTAGTCTAGACCTGAAGTCTGACATCCAAACTGCATGGTCTTTCCCCCCACCCCCCTCCCCCACAATATTTTGAATTTAAGGATCTATTTTAGACATTTACTTCAGGACAGCCTTTAGTAAGCTCCAGGAACACTTGTTTCTTTCTCCTGATGGTAAGAAACTAAACTGCTGCAGATATCTAAAATGAGACAGGATGAAGCTCATCCCCTGATTGAAAAAGAGCAGTCAGGTTCCCACCCCAATTAAAGCAAGCAATAATTGAAATTAAGTATTATTATATGTTCATTCCTCCATTAACAGCAAATAGTAGCAAATAAAGAACTAGTATAAAAATATTTTCCCAATCAGAAATATGAAAGGAAGGCAGTAGGTGTAACAGTACAGCTCACAAGGCAGCACTTTGCCAGTTGTAGACATATTCTTTAAATGAGCTGTCAGTGTGATCTTTATGTTAAAAGCTATGGAAATGCAAAAGGAATTCCTTACTATTTCTGTGAGGTACAGCTGCATGTCCACAATTATTAATAAATGCACTGAATGAACCTGTCTGGATGAGAACTTAAAATCACAGATTTCCTTCTCCCCCATTTTAAGCACTGTTCTTTAGCAAAAATTGCTCTCAGTCTGAAGTTCCTTATGTAGTTTCTATCAAAAGAAAATTTGAATATAAAATTGGATAAGGTATTCAGATTTTTTTTKTGTGTGTAAATTAAAAAATCAGGTGTTAGTTAAATTCAACTGATTCTCAGAAAGTCTTAATGGCAATCTACTTGCAAACTATTCCTCTAGAAGAACTGATGCAAGGGACTGTACTCTTTCTGAAGGAATACTGCAGAATTTATAAGCTCTCCCGACAACATAGAACAGTAGTTTTTAAAAAAATCTACAAACAAAACTAGGAAAGTTACCAATTTGTAATAAGTTTTGACCATAACAGAAACAAAATTTAAGAGGAAAAAAAAGTGAATTAAAATACAAAAATAACTAAGGTAAGAAATATACTTGTGTGTTAGCTCAGTGAAAGACAAAATATCAAAATGCAAATTCCTATCCTTTCTTAGACTCTGACTCTCTGTATATAGTCCAGAAACTTCCCTATCCCTTTACAGTTCTCCACATCAATATTCTTTATTTGGGCCTCAGAGGTCAGACTTTGTTCTGACCTGTRTGTTACCACAGATCTAAACATCCTCTTGTTCAGTAACATATGTCACTGAACCTTTAGTCAGTCTCAGGTGTAGTGGCTGAGACTGCAAATCATTTAATTGATAGACTGTGAACAAAGTCAGACTACATAAAGACCTTTTAACTATTGTCAGTTGCTGAACTTATTTGTTAAACCTACCTTTTATTTCAATATTAGGCTAGAGAACAGAAAGGGATGGCTGAAAACAGAAGGTATATCTCACTTCTACATGTGGTCTATTCACATGGCCTTAAAGCATGACCATTAAGGTGTCAAAGAAGCTTTTACACAGCAGTAACACGTAAAGCTGGGCAACTTTAATTTCAGAATCACAAGTATTTTTCAGTTCCTTTGTTCTTCCATGGAATATCTCCTTGTATAGGGCAACATTTTCCATAAATGATTTTAAGTTTTGTTTTTTGGGTTTAAGTGTGTGGKTTTTTTTTTTTTTTTTAATGGATCATCTTTTCAAGTGCTTACAAAGTTAACCCCAATAGCATATACACTAAATCTTTATCATGTCAACATTAAATAATAACCAACAGATTTTCTAGGCAATCTTGGAAGACCACTGGCTGATGAAAACATTGTGCGCACAGTAATCGAATTTTTGACTTACTTGCATCTTAAAGGTTAGTGAATATCTTTTAATTCTGATTACAATTAGTAGAATCACTAAAGATATGATTCTGTCAGTCTTTATTAGTGTAAAATTTATTGAGAAAGAGGACTTTTCTTGAAAGCACAAGGCTTTCCTACCTGTTTGTATGTGCAAGGGCATCCATGGAGACAGTTTGTCTGTTCCATTTCAATGCAGTGCAGGTGAATAAATACCCAACACAGCAGKTTACTAATACTGTTTGATTCCTCTGGGCACTGTAAAAATAATATCTACTACTTGTATGGACCCAACTTTTAGAAAAGCTGAAAACACAGACTACATACAGTCTGAGTACAGAGTAGATGATAAATTACTAAGATGTTTTATACTAAGCAAAATCTTAGTTTACTGTCGAGAACAGTTGGTGGAGAGTCCAAAACATTTGTTTTCATGATGAATATCTCCCCCTTCTGCGTGTGTTCTACAAGGAAGTCACACAACATTGTAAAACTATTCAGCTGCATGTTAATAAACAGCTGAAAAATGCTGCTATTTAAATTCTCTTTGGAGTCATTAGTGACACGAATTGTAAACCAGAGCTCAGAGTTCATTTTATAAGAATTAAAAATTGTAGCATGAAGGGGTAACCTGACTTATGAGGCTTTTTTTTTTTTTTATCACAGTTATGAATGTATGAATAAAGTTGTCAAAAGAACTCAGCCAAAGCAAACCATAGATTCTGCATCTTTTTCAGCCCTCTTAAGCTCTTGTCTACAAAAAAGTACTAACTTCTTGCAAAGAAAATATTGGGGAGAAAAGGATATTGTCAGTGAAACTGTTAGAGTGAGGTTTTCTGACTCAGGCAGCAKATAACTCACTAAATCTGTAACTACTATATTCCTATTTTCATATATAATTACAAGCCATTTTGTAGCAAAGGTTCATGTTGTGGAATGATACCAAATTGCTAGCTGTTACATTGGTATAATTAACTTCAATATTTAAACCCCCCTATTTATTATGCAAATTATCACATAAAATGTATTACATGCATATGCAAATTGTCCTGGTTGTTGCAGGACCCAAACACATATTTGTCCCAAACTCAAACATATATTTAAAGTAGATTAATCATGTATATTCACTGCTGAGCAAAGAAGAAAGTTRTTATATGGTTACTGTGCCACTATAAGTAGAAAGGAGCCCCAAACACATAGAGCTTTAGAAACATTCAGGCTGTAGAAATAGCCTGCTGTGAGTTCAGAAAGCAAAGTTAGTATGTGGGCAAAATAAGAGAGGGTGTGAAACCTGCTGAGCTTCAATCTGTATACTCCGATGTGCAGGCTAAGAGCTGTTGAGTTAGGCAAGAAAAAATACATATCCTAGAGGCTACTTCACCAGCTATTTCTTTCCTGGGACGAGGGAGCAAAGCAGGCTGCACTGTAACCTCCAGAATGACAGTGTCCTCTTTAGGAGTAATGACATACAGCTCCTTCTACTCAGAATAGACTGTATTGCTACCATTAGCTTCAGGATAAGTGGAAARGAAACTTTCAAATTCTATAAAATGTCTTTTCCCTGAGACGGTTTTGTATGCCCAGGTAACAAAAGATACAAAGTTATAGTAGTCTCACTTAGCAATATTTATTAGCAAGACCTGCTACACACTCTTGCACAAAATGAGAAATTCAGATTTTCAGGGTGAAAAAAAAAACAAACTTTACTACAATGCTAGTGTTAACATAGTAGAGATGTTTTAAAAATTCCCAAATTTCCCTGTGCTACATGTAATAAATTTAGTCAAAATATTTTCACTTGGAAAATTCACAATTCACAGAATGGTAAATCCAATTAGACATAAACTTCTACTTGCAAGATAAATGGAATACTTAAACAGATACTTACCTATTTGTTAATTCTCAGATTTTTCTTTTCTTTTTTCTTTTCTTTTTTTTTTTTCTTTGCAGAGGCGGGAGCATTTGACAATCTACCTTCACCAGAAGAAACAAACCAATCTTGAAAGACAAAAAAACAAAAAACTTTTATTTTGTTGTAAATTTAGACTGAATTCTAAACAAAAGATCCAAATGACCAAAAATGAGAATTATTGCTTACAATAATCTGACAAATGGCAAAGAGCTTTAGGATTTCTTGTTTTTTTCTTTTTTTTTTTCTTTATTTCTTTTTCTGTGATGTTGCATTGTAAAATTTTGCCTTGGTAAAAATTTGCTGTGGGTAATGATAAAATAAAAGAAAGAAGCAACTACATTTGGATTCGTTTCCCTTTAACTGGCATTTTATAACTAAATACATAACAGCACACACTACCTAGTATACCAAACCCAAGTTAATTTATTTAGACTAGGATGTACCTATACTACTGAAACTATAGTACAATAAAGCAAGTTTTACCTCTGAAGCACTTCGGCTGGCTGATTCTGAGCACCACAAGAGCATGACTGAACACTGCTAGACAGTCTTTCTATGGCACTGAGCTAATGCATCTCTATTCCTTTGAGCCATGGAAATCTTCCTGTCCATGTTTTCATTTACAAGAACTAGGTTTATATTTTCATGCTTCTATTCCATATTATTCACCTGTAATAAACCAGGCCCAGACTGTCACTCTGCTCTAAGGGATACAAATTTAACTTTTCTGTACCAGTTCAGACAAACCTTTTTAAACAAAGGACTAGTTACACCAGCTCTGTGCTTCCTATGATGTCTACCATACTAGTTCTGTGCTCTTTAATGATGATACCTGCTTCCAAATTAAACAAACACTTAAGAGCACTGATACACCAAGATCAGAATGCTCTGCCCCTACAGAATAAACATTGCACAAAGATTAAGAAAAAGGTTGAAAAGCTGCAAAATTTAATAATGCTCTTCACATTTAGATGACTCTCACATTGAGCCATAGTGTAATGAAACACTGTCCTTTCAAACTGTTGCTTACCAGAGTGCACAGACCAACAGGATATTTCGCAGAACAACTATTACATAACCTGTTGTTCACTTCTATCACAGCAGAATATGTTCTAGAAGCCAAGCCATTAGTGGCTAATTTGAAGCCACAAGGCTCACCTTGTCAATCAATTTGTGCTGTCCCTTTGATAATCACCCAGCCTCTGATCTAATCTCCTATGTTATCAGAGTACATTTCCCATCACATTCAATGGGCTTTCAAGCAAGAGCTTCAGAGAGAGTTTCGCTTTGTTGAGTTTTCTTTGATTTTTTTTTCAGAAGTAATACTAAAAGTGTACACTGAAAGTCCTTCTGAACCTACTCTATCTGAGAAACAAATGAGATTCCAAAACTTACTAAAAGAATAGAATGAAATGCAACTTGCACAGATTAATTTAATTCAGGAGTTTCAGACTCTCACTTTCACCAGCAAGTCAGATTTTCCAGTTGGAGACCTGACCAGAGCCTACGAAAACCAAGAGGATTCTTTCCACTGACCTCTGTGGAGTCTGGTTCTGAATTGCTAAAAAGCMGTATGCAGTTGCAGCACTCAGTCACAAGGCATCTTCCTATAAAAAAAAGCAGCCGAATCTACGATTAAAAAAAGAGAGAATATAATCTTACCATTGGTTAATATTGTTATTTTTAGCATAATTTTGTTTTATTGTCATGTAAGACAAGAATTTGAGATTAAAATAAACAACTGATATTATTTAAATTATTATTATTAGCACACTGTCAACCATATTAAAGTTAAAATGCATCCTGCATGGTGGAAGATATATTTCATCAGCCTCATTGCTATGCAATGGTTGCTTAAAATTCTCCATAGTGAAAAATCTCATGAGATCAAGTTCCTTGGAAGATTTCCAACAGCGTCTAAGCAGGGAGTCCCACAAGATCTTTTCATTGCTCTGTTATATGCATAAATTATAAAAACACAAAGAATCATTTCTGTTTAATTGCCTAAGATAGTGCATATCACATTGAACTGTGCATAGGAAGCAACATTATCACATTGAAACTCACTCCAAAATACAGAGATACATTTTTTAAAATTTCTTTGTCCTCCACTGCTCTTAATTTTCTAAAATCAGAGGAAAAGCAGTAAATGGTGTTTTTTTTCCCTATGCCAATTTCAATAATACTCTTATTTTATTAATGTGCTTTTTTATTTGAAGAATTTCTTATATCTCCATGTCTCAGATCTAAAGTTGCAAATGGTTGGATTAATATCTCCATAATCAGTCTCTCAAACAAATATCACATAAAAGACGACTTTTACACCATAGTTTGAAAGACTTGAGTTTCAACAGAGCAATAATGATAATAAGATACTATAGGCTTCAGCAGAAAATAAAAAAAGAGACTCTTATTTTACTAAGTTGCCCATTTCTGCCTAACGCATCGCACTTCCGCATAACACATCTGCAAACCAAACACATCTGCATTCAGGACAAAAGCTGAAGGCTAAAAAACGAGTCAAACTTTGCTGTAATGTTTGCCAGTGACAGGAAATTATTCAGTGGTCAAACTCAGAACCAAAAGTGAACAGGAGGCTTGCTGCTTCTGAGCCACCAAACAACAAAAGGGCAGACGATATTAAATGCTCACACAAGGAGAGTAATGCACATGGAGAAAAACAACCTTCATTTTACCTACATGCAATAGTAGTTTAAATTATCTCAGGGAAAAAAAACATACACTCACTGTACCTGGCTCTGTAAAAATTTTTGGCTTAAACCACAGTGGCAGTTAAAAGGCAAAATGGAATRTTAGGAATTATAATGAAAAAAGTTGAAAACAACCCAGAAAACATCACTCTACCACCATGCCCTGCTTGGACACCAGTTGAGGTTCTGGTCACCTCACTGCAGATAAGAGTCTTATAGAGCTAGAAAAGCTATAGGAAAAGGCTGAATATCTTCAGTGCCATGGAGCATCTTTCTGTACACAGAGAGATTAAATAGACTGGACTCTTCAGCTAGAGAAAGAAGAAGGGGAGAGTGACAATCTGGAACATCACAGAGAAAGGGCCTGGGGAATTCACTTCACTCACCTGATGAAAGTATCAAGTAACAGGTTTCAGACCACATCCAAGAGACGCCCTTTTCCATTCCCTTTATTATGAAATTTGGGTGCTGATAGGCACAGTGTGTTCTGGAGGCTTCATGCATTCTGAGAGGAAATAGCTAAATTCATGGAAGAAAAGTCCATCAAAGGCTGCTGGTCCAAGCTGGTCCAGAAAGTTCCATATTGAACTGTTTCTTAGAACGTTATGGACATTTGTGYGCAAAGAGTTACAAAAGCACCCTTACAACATGACCCACAGTTTAAAGTTAATTGAAGATTCTTCCTGTGTATAGCACCCCACACCAATTTACAAGAGACTTAAAAATCCCCATTTTTGGCTAACGATTCTGCAGAAATTCATGCTACATTTCACTCTCCCAAAAGGTACGTTTTGGATACAGTGCTCCACTTGTGAGATAACCTCACTGAGACTTTTTTAAATGAAGATTAGCTTGCTGTAGAAGAGGCTATTTCCAGTGGCACAGCTGACATAAACCAGCCTATTCAGATGAGGAAGTCATTAGGCAGCTGGCAGGATATGTGTATTTTCCCACCTGCCTCCTTACGTAAAGGTCAGACTGCAAAAGAATTAGCATACAAAAATTAGACAGGCACTCAGCATACAGAGAAGGCTTCATACTAGGATCAACATTCATCTGCTTTCAAGCTTAGCATTACAACAGTTAAGAAGGAACTACGGTCCTTTCTGCCTGASCAGCACACTAACTTCCTAAGAGAACTGAGCAGCTTGGGATAAGTTAGTTCACAAAAGCTTTAAACTTAGCTGTTCTTTTGCCTTTTGAGCAATATTGATCATTTGTACATTAAAGTAAGCAATAGTTCTGCTGCTTCATTTTGTGAGGAGCAAGGATGGATTGGGGACAACATATAACTTGACCTCCCACAGGAAGCAGCAGCTCAGAGACTGCTCTGCTATTCAGACTCAGGGCTTGGGTGTGTGAATGTCAGTCAGGCTCAATATTTGACATCTCATCAAGAMAGACACTTGTAACTTTATGTGCATCAGTACGCACCTCACTGCTCTGAGCTTTGCAAAGTGAGTTATAGAGCAGAATTATTTTATGTCCTTTCTTTTAAAGCACTACATTCCTCCCAAATAYGTTTTCTCAGAGATCTTGAGATTGAGTTCATGTATGTCCCATCATCTGTGCTATTTCTAACTGATGGAATCAGTGAAGAATCTATAGTGATCAAACACCCTCAAGTCTGGAGCATTTCTGAGTGCTAGGGGACATTCACAACTCCCATTCAGAATCTATCTCAGGGGAAATTCTGAAACGCATTTGGGAAATGGCCAAAATACATTCCCAAAAGATTTAAAACTGAGGCTCTGATCATTTATGTCAATTTAAGTGCCTATYTCACATTTCTAGAACTAGTATTCTTTGCTGTCTATTTGTTCAGATTTCTGTGCAGAGGGATCGTATCCTGCTTCACAAAGGGCCTTCGGCAGTTTCAGGGTGAAATTGTTATTTAGGGCTTCTCACGCTGGGTAACCTCAGTTAGGATTCCTCCCACCAACTTCAGGCTCATACCCTGATGAAGGCAGCTGGAGAACTTGAAGAGGACAGTTCTGCTATCCGGAGATGCGAATCACCTTTCCTGTGTGCTAGCTTGAGAGAGCCTGTCTCAGAATTCAGAGGAACCTTTTCCATTAGGTGCTTTCCTTGGMTCCTTCAAACTAAAGAGGATGAATGCAGACCTCAGCTCTTAGCTAGAGGAAACAGGTAAAATAATCATGTTTTTAAAGARAGGTATTACACATTTGTTTAATTGTCACTATTTTTCATGATACTTAAAGTATCACAGAACAGTTCAGCAGATTTTGCATTGAATGTATGTTCAGAAAAAAAATGGCTATCGTCTCTCTTACTGTGTGCACTGTTCTGCTTCCCAGCAGCTGCCAAGTACATTAGTCACAAAATCCTCTTGTCATTTTGTGCCTTCAGAATCCTTCACCGATTCAAAGAGGCCATKAAAGAAATGATACTGTTTTTTCTCTTGGTAATTCAGAAATGTGCCCTAATCTGTGAAATCTTAATTAATTTCATGTAGTCCAAACTATATAAAACTTTTCCTAAATTAATACATTTTCTCTCTGCC